GATAACGTCTTATGTTTTGATTTTATTGATATGTATTTTTAAACCCCTGGCTTTCGGCCTCTCTAGGTTCCGCCATCTCAGGCTGTAGCTAACTTTCTTTGGCTACTTCCATGCAGCTCTCAGTCAGCAGCACAGTTACCCTCTGTCGATGGATAAGGCTTTGTCATGACCTCACAAGATGCACAATTCAGGAAGAGACCAAAATTCGATATGCCTTCCCTCTCTTTTTCAGGATTCTTGGAACAGCCTGATCCTTGGTCATCTGCCAGCTGGGTTGGGGGACCTTTCCCAGACCTTACACTGTTCCCAACTTGATGTCTTCAGGGAAATATCTGCTCCCAGAGTGACTCATTTCTTCCGAAAAAACAGCATGCTGTTTATGTGTGTCTGTACAACAGGAGTGGAACATGCTTTAGGATGTTGAAGGGGAAGAGGAAGACGATCTGAAAGTGCTTGGTTGCATATACAGTTGGCTGTCCATATCCATGGATTCAACCATCCACTGCTTGAAAATATTCAAAAAGAAAATATAAGTTCCAAAAAGCAAACCTTGATTTTGCCATTTTACGTAAGAGGCATCATTTTGCTATGACATTTTATCCATGGGACTTGAGCATCCACGGATTTTTCCTGGAACCAAACCCCAGCAGATACCAAGGGCCCGCAATACTCATGTATAAGTCTAGAAATTTTAGTCAAATCATTGATCCAGAAACCTGGGTCAAGTTATCCATGGGTCAATGTAAGTACTGTACTTTAACTCTCATTAAAAAAAAGGAAACATCCTCTTCTCTGAGTAGGGTGGCAAAACGTAAGAGCTTAATCTAACCCAGGAGCATCTAAAAGAAGCACTGACCTCCTCTAATCTCTCCACCATGTCATCACTTCTGACCTCCGTCCAGGTTTTAGGCTGATCACAAACAGTGATGCCTACCAGAATTTGGTAGGTTCTTTGGCACCATTTTCCTTGGCTTCTTCCTTTATAACTTTTGTTAAATGTCCCTGAGTTTCACCCTCGACTCATCTATAGATCACATCAGAATCCATAATTTTTGCCCCTAAACCTGCTTTGGACTTATACATGATGTTGACTTATAGTTGAGTATATGTAGTAGATTGTGTTTTGCTTTTAAACTCCCTCCCACAAGCCTTCCACAATTCCACACTGGCTGCCTCATTATTGTATCATCCTGATGACCTCAGATAGAATCACAGAATTAGAGTTGGAAGTGACCCCAAGGGCCATCCAGTCAACCCCATTCTGCCATGCAGGAACTCACAATCAAAGCACCCCCGACAGATGGCCATCCAGCCTCTGTTTAAAGACCTCCAAAAAAGGAGACTCCGTCACCCTCCTAAACATGGCTATCATGTATGTCCCCTCTTCACCTTTTCTTCTCCAGGCTCAACATACTCAGTTCCCTAAGTCTCTCCTCATAGGGTTTGATGGTTTCCAGACCTTTCGCCATTTTGGTCGCTCTCCTCTGGACATGCTCCAGCTTCTTAACATCCTTATAGAATCATAGAACCATAGAGTTGGAAAGGACCTCATAAGCCATTGAGTCAAACCCCTACTCAGGGTGCATCTACACTGTGGAAATAATGCAGTTTGACACCACTTTAAGTGCAGTAGCTCTATCCTGCGGAATCCTGGCACTTGTAGTTTTACAAGGTCTTTACCTTTCTCTACCAAAGAGTGCCAGTGCCTCACAAAATTATAAATCCCAGGATTCTGTAAGATGGAGCCATGACAGTTAAAGTGGTGTCAAACTGCATTATTTCTGCAGTGTAGATGCACCCACAGTGCAGGAGCATCCCCAGCAGGTAGCCATCCAGCCACTTTTTGAAGAGAGAGCCAGCGTGGCACAATGGTTTGAGCACTGGACTATGACTCTGGCGACCAGGGTTTGATTCCCAGTTCAGCCATGAAACCCACTAGGTGACCTTGGGCAAGTCACACTCTCTCAGCCTCAGGGGAAGGCAAAGGCAAACATCCTCTGAACAAATCTTGCCCCCCCCAAAAAAAACCCCTTAGGGTCACCATAAGTCGGAAACGACTTGAAGACACACAACAGCAACATTGCTTCCCTTGACTTGGAAATGCTGGTTCTATTAAGGGAGGCCAAAATGTTATTTGCCTTCTTTGCTGCAGTAGTACACACCATCATGTAAGTCAACAAGAGGATCCCATCCAACAGCTGTGCACATCCTTGCCTGCTTTTATCCTTACAACAACCTTGTATGAAAGTCATTCGCTGAAGGGCTTCCTTGCTATTTTGGAGCACAGAAGACCAAACAAGTCACCCTCCTCTCAAAACAGGCCCTTTCCAATCCTGCCCAACCTTTTGCTTTCCGCAGAGGTATTTTAGTCTGGGATATGATTCTCCAGTGGAGGGGAATCTCCTTATATGATGAAATGAACATCTGGCAAGAATCAGATCAAATGGACGCTAAGCTCTAAATAAGCTGGGAGCTGAAATAACTATCCATATGTTTACAAGAGGACAGCTCAGATTTGCACAACTGTGAGGTTGTGGCTGTGAAGCTGTGCAATCCGTGGAGCAGGAAAGGATTTGGAGAGCGATGGCTGCTGGCTCCATTGCATTCAATGCGGTGAATCGGCTCTGTGTTTTACTCTTAAAAGAGGTGTGTTGTTGTGTGTCTTCTAGTCATTTCCGACTTATGGTGACCCTGAGGTGAATGTATTGTGAGGTTTCCTTGGCAAGATTTGTTCAGGTCTACCTTTGGCTCTCTCTGAGGCTGAGACAGTGTGACTTGCCCAAGCTCACCCAGTGGGTTTCTGTGCCCAAGTAGGGATTTGAACCCTGGTCTCCAGAGTTGTAGTCCAACACTCAGACCACTATCATGGACCCTCCATGTTCACTGGGGTTAGGGGCACAGGACCCTCATGAAAGTGGGAAAATTGCAAATAAAAACAGACTATTTTTGCCTGAAAGAACACCTCTCTAGGAATGCTTAGGTCCTCCAGGGCAATTCTGTGGTCAAGATCTTCCAGATGTTGACCGTGAAATTGTGCTGGAGGATCTACAAATGCCTATAGAAGTACTGTCTCTCCAGTGTGACTTTTGCCAGAAGTTGACAACAGAGTCATTCTGGAAGACCGAGAGAATCCTAGAGAGAACATATTAATCAAATCCATAAATAATCAAATCCACAAAAGTCAAAGCTGCAAATGTGGGGGCCAATGCTAGCTCTCAACAGAGCTTTTCAAACCCTATTATCCCCAAAATAGGTTCAGCACCTTGAGTGGTTCTTTAGAGATCAGAGCAAATAGACCACCACAATGATGACATTAGAGCTGCCATTGGGTTTGATTTAATCTCATCTGCCGTCCACACCTAGAGCCCTTTCACATTTCCACAGTCATCGCATTATGATCCCACTTTAACTGCCATGGCTGCATCCTATGGAATCC